TCCGGCCGTCGTCACCAACGATGAGTGACCTATCATCGCCGTACATACTAGAACGCCCTCTAGAAAACCCATAGGCGTCGTGCCGAGGCGGCGTATGGGTTTATTGCGTAACATTATGTATGGTATGGAAGTACAATGTTACGACAAGAAATATGGTTAAATACTTAAAACAAACATTTTCAATCTTCTCCGCTTAGATTTGTTGTGAAATTTTTGACAAGATTTTTAATGACCATTTGCATTTTAAATGAAGAAGACTTGTAGTTTCTTCAGACTAACGTCTAACTCGAAATTAGTTCACTGTTGCCTTGTTGGTTCTGACGCGTTCGTAGTTTTCGTCCCGTCTATTTTCGAATTTTGTTTTTTCCGTGTTTATTCTCAGTGAGTACACACAGTTCCCTCTATAACTTCTTGAACATCAAATATCCGTCAATATTAAAAAATCAATGTAGTTCAAGCTTAACTGTAACTGATTGACGTTTCTTCTTATAGTAATCTTATTTGAAATGTCATGTCTAATTTATAAAGTCAGAATAATAACACTTAGTAGTGACGGACTGTCAGATCAAAACGAAAAATAAGGTTAGTAAGTACTAGAGGGCTGTTCATAGTTGACAACTATATAAACATAAAATTGGTCGAAGGTTATTTCGGCAGAACTTCTTTCGCCTCTGAAGTATTTCAACTTGGATTGTGTAATGTAATACTAATAATAACAGTATTGCACTCCCAAATTTTCGGGAAAATGGAGTAAGCTGTTCCTGATTTAATTAATAAAGCGAATTGACTCATTTATTAATTTTTTCACGTTGTATAAGCAAATCTAAAAAATATTAATGCATTGATAAATCACAAGTACAGACGCATCATGTTTTGCACGTTTTAGGTAGGATTTATTCGGCAAAATTTTGAGATAAATTCAATAATTTTGGGAGGGGTGGGGAGGAGTAAACAGATATATTCTGATTAAAAAATTTACCATGCTTATAAGAACTTTAAAACGTCTGCAAGATTTCAAAGCATTCGGTTTTGCACACTTCCTGATTCAATCAATAAAATAAACTGAGTCATTCATTAATTTTTTTGAACCACACTGTAGAAGCAAATCTACAAATCTAGAAAATGTGAATGCCAGGATAAATCACATGTATAGACTCATCATACTTTGCACATTTAAGATAAGATTTATTCGTCAAGATTTTGACGTCATCAATTTTTTTTTGGGGGGGGGGGGATAAGCAAAGATATTTTGAATAAAAATTTACAATGCTTATGATAACTTTAAAACATCTGGAAGATTTCAAAGCATTCGGTTTTGCAGATTCAAAATTAAATTGCAAATTTTGTTTTTTTTTCCAAAAATCTGGACGTTTCGGGTAAAAACTGAACATGGATTCATAAACTACAGGTCTGCGACTATGTTATTTTATATTATTTAAAACCCATTTACTATGTACAATTTTGAGGTGACATCATCACATTGTTGGTGGGGATGATTAGATAAAGTTTGGCTATCTACATGATATTCAATATCATAATACACAAGTAAAATTTCACAACAATTGGTCCGATAACTGACAAGACAGACAGACAGGCGGAAACGGGACACCCATTCTTTCGTATCCTGGGCGTCATACTCAGATTTGAAATACGAAAGATTATATCTAGTAGTTCCGGTCTTTTTCTCAAACTGGCCATGTTTAACATTATATGGAAACAGTAGACAAATTATATCGACACGACAGTAAATTCAGGTCTTTGTTACGAAAATTATGCTGATATGTTGCAGTACCATCAACAGAACCGAATTTCCCTGTTTTTCGTCGGATAGGATAGTAGTACCAGTGGGTACCGAAAGATATTCGTCTACTTTTGACAATAAAAGGCTTCAATTTATTACGGCGTCGATTGTTTCCATATAATAAAAGGAAAAATTGTGTTAGGTATATCAACGAACAGGTTGTTTCTAAGATTTCTGTTATAATTCTATTAAATTTATAGAATTATCTGTATCATCTGGATAAAAAGTACTACACAACTAAATATCGTCAGCACACATGGTGCAATTTGGACTAAGTCAGTTATGTATACAATGTGTTTTTTTTACGAATGCATCATAGGGATTTACATGGTGTACATTTTAAGGTTTTTCTACTGTGAATTTACACGCTTAGTGCACATTACTTTTTACAAATTCTGATTTTTAAGAACCTAAGAAGTAAATCAAAGATTTTTATCGTTTTACCCGATTTTTAATAGTTCAAATGGTTACGGCCTATAATCAAGGCCTGGCAAATAGGGAAGTTAGTGATAGTTTTGCACCAGTATTATACCCCCATTGTAAAAAACTTATCAATTATGACAATTTTTGGTGACAATTAAGTATTTCTTCTAACGAAGATATTTGACTAGCTTCAACAAATGCATTAAATTTTTTCTAGAAAACTTTTACACCTTGGGCTTAAAAAACTATCAGAATCTGTAAAAAATTATGTAAACTAAACCTATATCAAAAGAATTTGGGAATTCGCAGTAGAAAAACCATTAACACGACTTAAAGTTTACACTATATAAATTCCTACGATGCATTCGTAAATAAACACGTATTGTATGGAAAATTAAAGTGGGATTAAGACCAGAAAGAAAATGTAATGTAATTACGAAGAAAATTTAATGAAGTACTAGTTGTACTGTAATAATTAAGTTTAGTGAAAAGTAATTCGACATTTAAACTACAAAATGCTTTTGACATATGAAGTAAAGTTAAAGCTGTAATTTTGTCATTACAAAATCAATTAAAGAAGACATAAGACAGGCAGAGCTAAAATTGTTGCGAAAGTCTGACCGTGTACACGGTGGAAGTACAATATTATGGTCATTTAAGTAATCTTTAAGCCGTTCAGCAATTTTTAAGGTAGTGCAGATTAAACTAATCGGCTAAGATTCAATAGACTTTTTACCTTAGGAATAGGTCTCACGATCGAAATATTCCACTGTTTGGGTACAAAGCGAGTTTCGAAGGAGTAGTTAATAATGTGCGCCAATGGTTCTAATATCTAAGGAAGTGCTGAGTGTAACTTCCTTTCAGAAATACCATCTATGTCTGTTGAGTTAGGCTTTAATTTAATGACAAATTTAGAAATTACCTTGGTAGTAGCAGGACAATATATGGACTTTAATTTTAGGAAAAGATCTAGGAGTAAACCCTTCGTTATTGTTAGTACAATTTCGAGATAGAGCCTATAAAATATCTATTAATAAAATTGTATCCAGATCATACAATTCAATAAATGAAAATGAGCTGTCAAGCGATGTATAAAACACTTAACGGTTTTATTTATGCCAGTTAGATTGCTGATTTAGTCCAGAAGAACAGAAACAACATTGAAAGAATTCAGATTTTCTATTAAACCGCTCTAAATTAGAAAAACTTCTTACTTGACACCTTGACAGAAATGTTGACGGTTTTTAAAGCGGCGTGAAAATCGTACGAATAATTATTAAAACGTTCCACTTTCTCGTGCAGAGTAAGTGATACATCATTCCCCAATTTATTTTGTCAGCACTTTTACCCAATTGTTCCAACCTGAAGTTTTTAAAAGAATTAAGAGTGAATCTACGTAATTTGTGATCTGAGAAGCAAATATCTATTACGCCAGAATTTACCTTATTACATTAAGATTTCGTGCTACAAAATCTTAGATCTAATGGAACTCACTGTTACCCTTATTCGAGTCCATAACTCGCGATATAAAAATTTAGAAACGGTATTTGTTGTGAAGAAGTCATAATTAAAATCTCCAAGAAATATTATAACAATTTGACATTTTAGACCAGGAGGAAAAATGCAGTTAGATTAAATCATCATCAATAGAAGTATGAAGCCTCGTCTCAGTTAAGGCAATTACCTACGTAAAATCATATTTGGATATACAATCCCTGAATCTACTGAAATTACTTAAAATCGATCCAATATTTTCATGTATGGACATGGCAAAGCATGCAGATAAAATTTTCGTTTAAACTATTTTAACTCAGCAGCTCAGACGTACTTGGAAGGAAAATAGATCAGAAAGTCGTGTTTTGAAAGTGCTTCTTACATTAATATAAAATGTTGTTACACAAGTTTGCTTTTTTTGTGAAAATTTGGATGTCTAGGATAAAAACTCAGGGCAGATTCATAAGCCACAAGTACAGGAACATGTTATGTTATGTTATGAAATTTAAATAACATTGACATGCAAAATTTGGAACTAGTTTCATTAAATTGTTGGTGAGAATAATTAAATAACGTTTTACCATCTACACAATATTCCTACCATATACATCTGATATTTGACTTTTTAGTTGTTGAAATGTGGTTGAAATGAAAGAAGGAAAGTGAGAAATTGCGCAGAATGTTCTTCACTTTCAAACAGTTTTGTATTAATTTAAAATTGTAATTATTTATTAAACAATACTTACGATCAACAAAATTTGATCCTATATCTACGGGTTTTTCTTTACTAATCACAGGATAAGTAAGTGAAATTTTCCTTCCATTGAATTTTTTTTGAAAAAATATGCAAATGCTGTTACTTTACGATTACTTTGCATATACATAACACTTTGTTGAGGGTTATCCAACTAATTTAACTTAAGGCAGCAAAATGCATACAGCGTTTAAATGCATAACACGCTACGCCATGATTAAGAGTCTGTACATCCGTGAAATGTAGCGCAAACCCGGCTTATTCGTGGGTCAGTTTTGTAATGAGTTACATCGTAGTTTTAATAAAATGGTCACCCGCGTGGCTAATCTAAATGTAAAAATTGCCACTATCAAATATCCACAATACCGAACTTGTTGCGCACTCAGCTCTATTGGTGTGTAATAACTGAAAGCTAATTAAAAGTAGGGAGAGTTAGCACGTTATTCCCAGTGCTTAGCGGGATATCTACCTACCAGTCACCGGATGTGTGCTTTTCCGGGTACGCGGGTTAATTCAGTTAAGACATCACTTCAGACTCGTGGTGTGAAACTTACAGTGACATACTTTTTTACATGATCACATTATGTGGATTCAGCACACCATGTAAGTTAGTGCAAAGTAACTTAACCCAATGTGTTTTCTGCAGTTGTTAAGTCAATAGTACTTTGCAAATATTTAATCAACCACTTGTCACACCACACAGTGTTTGATCAAGGATAATATTAATATTTCCAACATCGTCAAATAATAAAATTACTCAGTATAAGGTGAACTACTGATAAAACTTCATTATTAAATTAGGAAATTTATAACGAGCGATCAAAACGTAAACCCCTCTAGTTACGAGTTGATCGTTTTTTTTTTTCAGGAACATAGATAGAACCACCAAATGTGCATAGATATATTATCATTTCTCACACCTGTCGTTTGAATTTCCGTGTTTCGTTCAGTTGTTTGTGCTTCTAAGTTTACATCACGTTACTTCGTTGTAACCTCACTTTTTTTGACATATCGTGCCGTACTACTGACTATAAAGGAGAGGTTACAAATGACATTAATGACAAGTTAGAACTGTCATAATTTCAGCGAAGCGAGATTTTTGAAATCCATAGCCGACTACTTAGAACCATTTATAAAAACCCTGTATAAAGAAATCCAGTAGACTTATGATTGCTATATTAAATCTATAATATTGATATATATAGGTAAAAGTTACTGGAAGTATCTATTAACAAACATGACATTTATGACATGGCAATTATACTGGAGGTTCGAAGTAAATCTCTGAAAAGAAAATGCGAAGAGTTTTATAGAATGAGCGTGAGATATCCTATTTTTATATTAAATTAATCAAAATGTCAGGTTTATTATCCTGACACAGAATTAGAAGTAACAATGGAATTTCCTTTGTCTGGTTCGAAGCGAATATTGTATAGGTACGGATTGTTTCAGAAGGAATCGAATAGGAGATTCACCAGCACTAATGATTTCGTCTGGGTGAATTTTGCTCCAGGCAATCCAGACTTGAAAACTTGCCAGAACATTAAAATCATTTTCAAACCACCCTGTACAGTAGCTTCTTTTCTACCTTCTTCGACTGACAAACTTCCAGAATAATCTTCTAAAGGTATTTATCGTATTCTCACATCCTCTGATCTTTATCCCCTACCAAAGTTGCTAAACAAAAGAGTCCTAGTTGTGAGTAACCATAGACCCGTCCGAATTCATGAAGGGGTCGTATTCCTTGTTCACGTGGTGCATGTAAGTGAAACACGTTGTTCGAATACCAACATTGCATTCTATCCGGTTCGGTCTTATTATTAACTCGAGCAATATATGAGACAGGTCATCAAATCTCGTTCGACAACCATTCGACATTACTTCATTAGGAAAATTTATTAATATCCCAATAATTTTTACACAAACAATGGTTTTCCCCGTTATTGTGTATGGAAACCACTCGTCCTAAACACCAAGATTCAAACCCACCTTCCTTTGACCAATTTCCCCACCCTGTGTGAAAATTCATGCTAGAAGAGATTTACCCTCACTTCCAACATAGTTTTCTTTTCTCCCGAAGTTTTGTCCCTGATGAAGGTAGGCGAAAAACAGCTTTCTGTTATTAACTCTGGTCATGAAAGCTTTGAATTTCTATTGGAAGATTTCAGTCGTTTGCATTTTATTTTTCAAAATTTTTGTTCTTGCTGATATATTGTGTTGTTACCAATATAAGTATGATAATGACAAAACAGTTTTTTTTTTACAGTTTTTCTCTAGAGCCACACTGTATTACCATTTCTTACTTGATAACACTGACACTTTACTTTTTAGTTTAACATTTACGGTCAATTAAAAGTTAAATAAAACATGAAATAACTACAATAGCAGCATCATTATTTTAAAAATTAATTTCATATCGTACTAAACGACTCTTTTTTAATCATGTGGTATTTTGGCCAAAATTTCAATTAATCTAAACCAATTAAATGAGTAACTCCTTTTATTGTTATTGCTCAATATTAACTGATGAGCATTTATATTTGACAGTTTGGCAACCGTTTCGTTATCAACAGAATTACTGTGCTATAAATCACCATCTTTATTTCAAACTTTCCGTTCGACAGCTCTCTTGCTAGATCGTAAACCAGAAGTTCGAGTGCCTGTACTAAGTATTAACAAAATAATCCAGATGTTATTTCTTTTTTTGACGCAACTTTGCTATACAAATACAAAAACAAAAACTAATTGCTTGACATTTATCATGTGGGGAACATTTTTCTGAAGCAAAATTATATCACAGATTGTTATTCATAGTTTGCTAATGTAAAATAAAATAAAGCTAAAAAACTAGAGCTCCAGTTACACTGAAAAATTCTTAGGGCCCTACCGTCACAAGAAATCCAGTATTCTGTAGTCTTTCTTATCATCAGGTCTTAAGTAATACGAGCAACAATCTAAGAAGCTAAGTAATATCCTATAAACATGTTTTGATAACATAATACTAATAATAAAACACTGAGAAGTACCGTTCTTGACATTCGATCAATAAAAAAAAAAAGTATTAAATCAATGGAAAACACAGATAATAAAAGTCACAGTTTAAGATAAAAAGCAGAAGTGACCCCAGTCCGTGCAATTGGGCTGCGGCTTCTGTTGGTAAAAAAACTCAAAGCGGATTCATACACCACCAGTGTATTTATTGTACAACATTTAAATCATTTTAATATAGAATCTTTTGAGATGGTGGAGATGACTAGCTAAATTTTGGTTAGTGTTTTACTATCTACATGATATTCCTAGATGAGACAGACAGATGGAAACCGGAGACCACTTTTTTCGTCATGAAATGTCGAGAAAACATGAAAGTAGCAAGTTGCCCGATAACCTCGATTATAATACGTCCTTCGCTTACGCTCACAGCTTAAAAATACGAAAATGCTGATTTGTCATTTCCGTCTGTTTTTAAAATATGTTTGATAGGTAGTCTCCGAACTTGGCACATTTACTTTGAAATTTTAAATGAACCTTAAAATCTACAAGTTATAGAATGATTATTTATTAAAGAATGTTTGTTCCCGTCATTTAAAAAAGTGATGATATGAAAATATATTTTTAGATATATGTGTATCTTACTTCATGTGGACAACTTTACGTATGGTCTAATTATCCACGTTAACTTTTTCAGATACTAAGTATACGATTTTCTCTGAGAAAAATGGGTTGTGATTATTAAATCTTACAATTCTGAAAAATTATACAAGAGATTTCTTTAAACTATTGTTAAAAGAGTAATACTGATATACAAATTACTGAAAATTATCTAAACTGTTTATTAGTTCCCTCTAGAAAATTTGTAATCGTCCGTAAAGGGCAGTGTTGTTTATGTTTTAGAAATTTACATTTATTTGTTAAAATTGATAGCACAAATTGTATCAGACAATTAATGCCTGATGTAACGTGAATATATTGTATAAACTAAAAGTAAAACAATCATAAATTAATTTCATTCGTAACATGTGTTGATTTATTTCAGTTTTCCTTAATGATATAACAATATCAGACTTCGAGCTTAACGAAGTAGAAGTCAGATTACGGATGTTATCCCTAATGAAACCTTACTAATAACTCGTGAAAACTGGTCGTAATAATCAGGTTTTCAAAAACATTATAAAGTTATTTGTCAACAAGAACGAGGTAAAACAGTCTTTCTCATGTTGAGAAGGTAGGGACTTACTTGGTAATATTTGTATCAAAATTAAGCTGCGGCACGCATACAATATCTAACTTCCACAATGTTTGTGTTAACGCAAATACCGATGTAACTTGTAAAGGAAATCTCTTTGCAAGTACATACCAACGCCAGGGGTGTATATTTTTGACCTAGCAAATATACTGTGCTAAGTTAGGGTAACTAACTCTCATGAAACTTACTTCTCTGAAACATTTTGATATATTTTTATCATAGTATACAACTACACGCATTCAGCAAATAAACATCGGACGAATTGCTACTTTAATATTTTCTTGACGTTTCATGACCCCTAGTGTACGAAAAAAGTAATCTCCCGTTTCCGTCTGTCTGTCGTCTGTATCAATTTTGATCAGACACGTAATCTCCGAAACTACTGGAAAGATTCTAAAATTTTTTATGCATATTAGGAATATCATGTAGATGGTAAAACGAAACTTTAATTTGGACAATCATCGTCAACAACAATTTGATGACGTCATTTCAAAGAATTTTACTTTAAAATGATGTAAATGTTATACAACAATATACTCCTATATTTGAGTTTTTTTCCAAAGTGGTTGGGTATTAAGGAGAACGTCGACCTACGGTCGCATGTTCGATGCCACACTTGGCCGTTTTTTATTCTTATTATCAAATTAAGAACTACCTCATTTTCTCGAAAATGTGAGAATACGCACGACTTTACTTAATAATGATAACATAAGCATAATAATAATAATATTCAGAACATTTTCTTCGATCATGGTTTAATTAATAATAGTATAAACATAAACATTGGATGTTATTATTGCTGAGAGGATATTTCCCCCTTAGTTGGACCAGTTTTTTAGATATCAATTTTTTCAGCAAAAAGATTATGAAATTATTTAATTATTTTTAATTTAGAAAATCTTGAGAGAATGTTATGGACCGAAATATGACTTTAATAAAGTTGTTCACGTTGCGTTAACATTAGGGATAGACTCGCTGAAACTGATCTTCGAATTAATTTGTTTTGTAATGTTAGTGCCATGTTTTCTAATAAATCAAAGAACACAATTGTATTCAATTTTATTTCATTATACAGGGTGACTACTGCATAATTTTAAAAGCGAATTATATGACAAAAAATATGGAAATAATGCTAACGGAAAAGCACGGTCAATTTTTTTAAATATGGCTATATAGGTATAAAATTATCGCTTGTTCCAAATTTACAATTATTATGGACCTGAACATTCACAATGCAACTAAACATCTTCCGTACTAATCGCAATGCCTGGCATACCTTGGTTAAAATATATTTTGTTGATGATTATTCTCGCCTCCAACTATTTGGATGTAGGAAATATCTTGAATACGTAAAGTATTT